AACATTTAACCTGAAACAAAATGTCAACAGAAATTTCTCACTCCTAAATTTGGTTTCAATCTTCAACAATTAATATTTTTTGCAATAAAATTCGTGAGAGTATGCAAGTGTAGTAGGTGAAATATCACAGTGAACAAGTGAACTAACATAGAAGCAAAGCTGTGGAAGCCTGTGAAGCCAACATTAGAATAAATAAGGAATACAAATATGTTTTTAAAGTATTTACATCAACTCCAATTTCTTAGCACCCAAAAAGTGGTCCAACGCACCTTCCATAAATTGAAATCTTGTATATTATATTTCCTTTTGTACATATACCACTATAGTTAAATTTTTTGGACAGTGAATCATCTGCAAGAGAACCACTTCACGCCAGGCTGATAATTTTTTTAGTAGCTTAAGCCTGTAAAGATACTAAGAACAAATGCAAAGCAAATGTCGTATAAGGAAAAGAAATAATGGAATCTTTTTCAATTCCATTCCAACATTTAATTTTGTATTGAAAGCTAATTTGCTCCTTTTAAGTTTATTTTGAAAAATTGATGTTTCTTTACATCCTTAAATAAAGCTGTAATTTCTCCGATATCCCTGCTCATCAGCTCTACCTCATTATTCTTTGATGTACGTAGAATCATAACATACAATTTATAAAGAGATGTTGCACAAGTCAACTGTTACACTGTTTCCTTGAGTTAAAATAAACTGCAACATGAATATCTCCTATGACAATCACATCCATGTGATTATAATTTCTGAAATCATTACATTTCAACATTTCCATGAATACCCAACTATTATAGTTAGGTGAGCATTCGAAAAATATCTGTATACACCTCAGTTGAAATGTAATGTTTTCAAACTCATTTTTTTATCACCAGAGATTGAGCATTGTGAAGATCAGGGTGGTACACTACACTTTTGGAAAATATTTCCTTTTCAGCTTTGATGCATCAATAACAATTATTAAAAAACAATATAAAAAGAAATGTGTTTTTAAATAAAATCAAAGTTTCAAAATCACACATGCAGATTAATAGTGAGTAACTGAGTTCAGAAGTACACTGAGATGCATTGGATTAGTGACATAACATATAGTAAGAGTGGAGAAAATTAATATTGTTATTACCTCTTCCCAGACCAATTAAATAGAAGGAATTTGATAGAAGCATTATGTTTTAACACCAGAAAAAAATTGATCATGGTGAAAGCCAGTGAAGTAACTTTGGTTCATGTCATGCAAGGAATTATTGTAATTAAAGGAATATTTTACGACATTTTGAAAAAAAAAAAAAAAAATATTTTTTAGCCCCTTACAATGTTCAATTCATACCCAGTTCTCTGCCATTGCTCATTAAATAATCAGGTTAGTTTCAATTCTTGATGAATTAATGCTGTAGGCAATTCATTAAAAAATAAAATAAAATAAAAAAATAAAATAAAATAAAAAAAAAAAGATAGCATAAGGTGATTAAAAAAAATTATCTTACATTCAAGAAACACACAAATATAAAAATGAAAACAAATCAGTTTTACTGAAAATGCCAATACTGTAATGAATCAAAAATTATGTATTATATTTTGTCTGTATTTGACATCCGGACAATATATATAGTCACGGCCTACTGGAAAGAAAATAACAGGTTGGCAAGGTTTTGAAGCCATGGAGACTTGAGACAACTGGCAGAAATCAACAATGAGAAAGAAAATATTTGTTCTGGTGCGAGGACGAAAAGTTGAATAGAACCCTTCAGTCAATGGTGTAATTCAGGAAAGAATTTGACTGAAGAAATGCAATGTACTATTGGCAGTGTATTTGATTGAGGACAGATTTACGAAAAATTAAATGAACTAAAATATTTGGGTAGTCAAACAGTGAATTGTATATATGGAATTGGATCTACAGGAAGGACTATTGTATTTGGAAAGGTGAAGAAGGCAAACAAAAAAGCTGATTGACATAAATAATTAAAAATTCTAACCTATTCTCTATGGCTTGAAATAACCAACACAATCATTTTCAATAAAAGAAAGAAAATTTAAGGTATAGTATAAAAATATAAAACATTACATTTTGACAGACTATAACTTTTCTTTAACATTTATGTGAAAATATATGTATCACCAAAACATTTATCCCAATGTTATTCCATATGTTGGCACCCTATATGCAAAAACAAGTATTCCAAAATTTTGAACTGTATCTTGGATTTTATGGACTTCATCTGGAGGCAAACTGACTTATGTCATCGGCTGGTAATGTACATGTTGTAATGAAATATCAAAATGTATGTTTTTATTAAAATTAGCCTCCCCCCCCCACCCTGCCATAAGAAAGTATTCAATTCTGACATTAGACCTTTTGAACTTAGGGTGTCAATTTTTTCTTCCTCCATCCATATTGTTATGACAAAAAATGTACAACATATTCTCAGAATAGGTTTCTCAGCTTTAATCACCACATCTAATTCAAAGGGAAACTCATATCAATCACAGAACTATTGGGGTTAAAGATCAAATGAGGGTGTGAGAGACCTAGGCCCAACACTGACAAGAATTTTCTCAAATTCATTCTAAAATACCTGATTTTACTTACTTCCAACAATTAAACACAGTTGTGTAGGCTGATTGTTCTCTTTACTTCCAATTCACCTTAAATAAAAGATTTCTATAACAAGCATGCAATTTTCTCTGATTTTGTTTCCTAGAACAGGCACCAAAATCTTGAACTAACATTCCCTGATATTCCAATGACATTCCAATGACATTTCATATTTCCTGACAAATTAGATTTTCACTCTCTCTCTTGATATATATTCTCTGATTTTCACATTTTCTCACAAATTGTTAAAGTTTGGTGTTTAAAGAACTTGAGCAGGGGTTACCAATGTTTTGAAGAGGAAGACCATGTTATTAAATCTGAGAACTTCAGCAGGCTAAAGCAGTTCATATTAAACTACCTCACTAAAATTAAAATAATAGTAATACCACAGGTTATTAAAAATATAGAAAAGTAGGAAATTAAGTACAAAAATGATCGTTTACTTAAATACAAATCCTGAATTTTCTTCAAACTCACTTCTGAGTGTTTTTTCACTGACATTCTTTTGCAATCATTGGAGCCTGAAAGTTCTTTAACAATGTAACGAATAGTCAACTACAGAGCATGTAATTGCAGAGCTCAATCTCATCTTGAGAGTCCTATTGCCACAAAACAGTGCATCTAGTGCACCATAAAATCAACATGCTAGGGGCTGCGAAGACTAAACCATTAGTTACTGAAGTCCAAACTCTACAGCACAGACAATGGAATATGTCACAGAGAAAAATTGTGGACAGTCAAGGAGTTGAAGAAAGTGATAAGGTGTGATGACACCTTTTTCAGATTGTTTCTAACAACATTTTGAGTTTACATGTGAAGAACACTGAAAAAGCACATGTCCTACCTCTTCCAGAACGCTCCTAGATCATTGGCTTTACAGATATATTGCCATTTTCACCATCACAAAATTCATGGAGGAGTTACCAGGTATTTGTAAGGAAGCCATTACCAATGACAGTTGGTGTGTGGAATCACTTCACAAAACAAGTGACTAACAAAAAGAGAAAAGAAACTAGGTTGGTGATCACAAAATCTCGTTACGACCATTGATAAATTCCTAGGCCTCATAATCCACACATGCTTGTTATTCAAAGAACATACAGATTATGCTAGTGAAAAGGTAACAGTGGTAAATGCTACATTTATAAGGCTAATTGGCACACTGAAGGACCTAGTCCAAAGCCTTCATGGTCACATTTGTTTTGCACTAGGAAGCTCTAGTTTGGGTCCCCTTTGCGGAAATGAGGAGCTATGTGGACTGGCATCAGTGTCTGTGTTGCCTGAACACACTGTATTGCAACCTCCTTCAGAGCTGTATTGCTTAACCCCCCCCCGTCCACCATTGTGATTCCACCTTTCGGCCACAGATTAAGTACTTCCTTTTGTGTGTCTTGGTAACCCACCCCCATGGTTGACCAATGACCGCCCTTCTTCACCTCCGCTGATTGACTGTTGCTCCAATATATCTTAACCAACTAACATGTACATGCTATTTTTCTAAGTGTCCCACTCGCTTCGCTCCTCTGCTATCGCACTGTTCACTTTCCACTAATCTCGTACTACCTGGCCATTTCTTATTGGGTGCTGCCTTCCCACACACCCCCACTATATAAGGTGGTCACGCCAGCCATTCAGCAGCCTTACCGCTCTGAAAAAAGTTGCAATATGTTGGTTGAAACTCCATTAAACAGATCTCGCTTTTCCTGGCCACTGATCACACAAGCAACTACAAAGTTCATTTGACTTTTGTGACACATGTGACACTTGCACCTGATTGATAGGTAACACATCATGCACTGGTGTTTAGCAGGTGCACTTTCTGACAAAGTCTAGGTTATTTAGTGTGTATGCAAAATACTAGGGCACGATAAGTTGCCCACCAATCAGGGCCAAATGCCACATGTGCATATTTCTTAAATGAGATTTCCCACAATTTGTTCCCTGGCAAAAAGTGACCATCTTCAGCCCCTTACAAGCCCCAGAAGTACTATTTATTATGACCCACACTCTATTATTCAATAATAGAAATTGTGTACTGAATGAATTTTCACAAATCAATTCAATTAGTTATACTTCTATTTCTTAAATATATTGGGCAATGTGAAATTAAATTACTCTCTGTCCTTATCTGTAATGCAGATTCAACAAATTTGAATTTGTGATTTTAGAATTCCACAAAAATGAGTAATTAGACAATTTAAAACAACATGCTTCCGGCAGCTTCTTTTTTTAAATTGTGGACACTGATTAAAACTTAAATTGCTGCATATTTCATTTTTTTAGCAGGATATTACATCACACCAAATTAATGATAAAATATTTACATCAACTATAACAAGCAAATGTTGATGTCACTATTAAAAAAATGTTGGCAGGTAAAAATGAGCTAATGATTACTTACCCTTGTAGCTGGTCTTGACTGAGCATTGAAACCAACATCATTTTCTTCGATACAGAGATCAGAATCAGAATCCATATGTGATCGTGTTTGACCATCCTAATAATAACAAGTGAATGTCAGACTCATAAATTATACTTAACATCAGTCCTCACAAAAAGTAATTGAACATATTATCTGGCCCACATTAATGTTTAATCTTCATGGAGACAAATATAACTTAATAGCCATGATCTGAATAGCGTGATTTCAATTTAAGTTTGCATTTTGTTATTATGTTTCAAAATATTTGGTCTGAAAAATACACCAAAAATAAAAGAAGGCTATTGTGATTAAAATAAATCAATGCTGAGGTGATGTAATGAAGTTTTTTAATAAAAAATAATTTTTGACCCTGAAGAGTAAAAAGTAAAATATAACAACCTCCACAGCATACGTAGTAACTTTGATAACCTGCCAAATTTCTGATTAAAATTAAACTCTCACATTAATAATGAATAAAAACACTATATTTAACTCTTAAAATAATACTAATTATATGTATTAATAATGCATATAATAATAATAATAATAATAATAATAATAATAATAATAATAATAATAATAATAATAATAATTCCTATTATAATTTTTCCTACAGACTTCCTCTGAGAAACACAATCATTAACAAAAAACCTTTTAATTTAGGGTGATCTAGCCTCCCCCTTTGAGTATGAACTATACAGAAGTCTGCTAAAAACATCCTCTTTAGTTGTAAGAATTGTTTAATCACTTGATGGTGAGAACAAATTCATTTATTGCATCTCTGAATTATCAATTGCAGATATTCTACCTTGTCTATATTGATAAATAAATTATAAATGAATTTAAAAAGGTACAAATTACCATTATTATTATAATTTTTTGTCCCAAGCCTCCACACATAATCAAGAGAGCTGACAATCAAAATCAGTTTAGGAAAGCCCATATGGTCGATTTATTTTACAAATTCCCCAAATCCCAAACTCACTCCAATTACTGAATGGGCACAGCAAAAATTGCTGAATAGTATTGCTAGTTGTTCTAATTTCACCAAATGATGTGGTTTCACAACTGAGTCTTGTTTTTAATAATTAAAAAAAAGCAATATTGAATTCAAGCAATATTGAAATTTAATACATGCTTTTAATACTGCAGAAAATATGTAGTCTTTTTCTTTGTCTTGCATACATTAATGACATTTGCAGCCTTCTTATGAAAATCAAAAGGAACACTGAGGCACCATCCATTACAAATTTACTTACCTGAGTCATCTGTTCTGTGGTAGTAAGCACCCTTGCAAGTGGATTACAACACACTGGAAGTGTTTCTAATAATGTGGGTCGTGCGTGAGTAAGGAATGGCTTCATGTATTTAACATCAAAATCTGCCCAGATTCGGGCCAGCCAAGCCTTCTCATTCACTTTCACATTTTCTCTGGGAGGAGGTTCAACTACGTCCTGCAAAGAATTCAAATTAAAAAGACACATTAAAATATTATATATTTTCATGCATCAAAATGGTAAAAAAATATATTTGCTTGAAATTAACATTATTTTAAAACTTCGTACAGAGTAGATATAAATTTTCATGAATATTCTACAGATTTCATGCTAAAGGATAAATCAATTAGTATTAAGTCTTATCTTTTAACAACAAATATAAAAAAAAACAAAGATTGTAGTAAACAATGCCATAAAAATTAACCATGCCAGACAAAACTCAACAAGTGCAAAATGAGAAAGAAAGAAATCCCATATTAAAGTGCAATTACATAGTTATTCAATTATTTTCCATTTTATTATAATATTGTACTTGAACTAACATAAACAATCACATTAAAAAATGGACTAATTTATTGAAGGTAACCTTAAAAAAGAACCACAAAATATAATTCAACATTGGAAAATCTTGACTCTTAAAATTTTTAAGAGCTATTACTTCCAAACAAATATACAGAGAATGTACAAGAAACTGCAGGTTAATGTGCATAAATTAATTATTTATTCTGTTCTTAATTGCTTTCACAAACAAGAAACATATTTCCCATCGATAGTCCAAGTAAACAAGAAAAAACAAAGTTGGGGTACTAAACAGTAAAAATGCCTAAAACAGGTCACAAGTCTCATTGCAAATTTAGTCCCAAGAATCTTTGTTTTATTTCATAACTTTAATTTTACTTTTATTTTTATTTCGGTTCCTGTCTTTATTACAACAGATGTTTTTATTTTAATTTTGCTCAATATTCTATGCAAGTTTCTTGAAAATTGTACAATTTAAATAACATCTGATTAAGTCACATGTTAATTAAGCTGTTGCATGCATGCTCCACAGTTAAATTGGGGAAAGCACAAGAGAACAAAAATTCGTATCACAGAAGATCTGACACCCCTCATTTCACAATTTTTTTTTTTTTTTTAGAATTATTGAATTTTGCCAAAGATGGCAATTTTTAGAACTGTTAAACTTTGATGCAAGTAGCAAAAATAATTCAACAGATCTAATTCAGAAGTATTTCCCGAGAAAGGATGTTCAGTAGCCATGGTACCATCCAGGAAGAATGCATACATATCTGTGCATCTTATGGTTGTCAGATTCAGGAAGTTTAAGTTTTGACGATAAGGTGCGCATATAATTGTAATGTATAGAATATTATATTTACAAGGGCAGATACAAAAAGAAGTGCTGTTGCTGCTGCTGTTTTGTTTTTTCTCTTTTCAGAGGAGAGAAGGAGAAAATGTGTGTGTGTATATATAAATATTTAATGCACCTACAGAGTACATCAATTGTTCACTTGATTCCTCTTAACAAAACCAATTGCTTGGTACTAATTTTAATCAGGTCTTTCTAGAATATTCTGAGAGAATTCTAAACAAGAGGTGCTCCAATGATGCTTTATCTATTCAATCAGTATCATTCTTTATCTATTGAGTCAGGTCTAGCTTTTCAGGTTTGCCAAACTCTCTTCCCAAATGCCACCTATTAGCACCTGAAGTCTTAGCAGGGCCTCTTGCAGTACCTACTGCTCCAGTGGAGACAAATTCTCATTGAGAATTACCGTGAGCTCAACACACATCATGTTGAGACACCTGTAAGTCCATCTCAAAATTACTTTAGCATTAAAATCCATCAACATCACACTCATTAATAAATTTATCAAAATTAAGAAGCTTTGAAGAAAATATTGCAGAATAAATATTGACCAAACATCTCAATTAACTCAGTAGTTTAATTTCCTTTCCTAATATTGATATTGAGGAAATTTTCTTCTATGAAAAAATACAACCATTTTTGCCACATTTTCTCAAAATTTCAATCGGTAATTAGATAAATGGATATGAGACAAGGTTGTTGTAGAAGAGCAAAACATCTTTTCACAAAGAAATCTTTCTTATAAACTTTAGAACCATTTTTAAAAAATGTTGTTTATAAAAATGCGCAATTTTGAGCTCATTTACTCACAAGAACTTGAGATATATGAATCTAAAAATATTAAGTAACAAGGTCTTATTAAGTTAAAAATAAAACTAATGGCCTGCAGGAGCAATAAATGATGCTGAACAGTACCAAACAAAATGATTGTCTAAAATGTAGCATGCACACTGCTCAGAAACCAAAAATTAAGTACTCTCCTACAACACTAAATAAAATAAATATTTTAACATATAAAGTCTTCATGGAAACTACAGCAACATAGTAGATTGTGTGTGGATACGCAGAATAACAACTCTTTACATACTGAGAAAGTAAAACAAAACATTGCTGTTCCACAACGCATAACGTGAAAAGCAATTATTTAATGGCTGGTGGACTCTTCTTTGGAGCCTTGTTGTTGCATGATGTCAGTTGTGTCACTGAGTATGAGATTGCAGTCTGTATGTACCGAATGGAAATCGGGAGAATAAATATTTGCATTTTTCAGATACTATGAAAACTCTTTCATTGTTTTCGAATTTTGCCTTGAGTTCTGGAATATTATGAATAAAATGAAACTACAGGCTCATCTCACTTGGCCTGAGGTTGCATAGATTCTTTTTAATTTCCGTGCACATTGGGAATTAGTAATACAGATAATAGATTCTTTATAAACAACAATCACTTTCTTCACTTGTTAATTTGACAATTAAACAAGCCCATCATTGCTAATGTTGCTGGGAAACAAAGTCTTCTGTGCAGTCAGGCAGTACTATAATTTACCTGCCTAAGCAGAACATGCAAGTGGCATGTGTAGTTTAAGCAAGCTTCCATTCCATGTTCAATTCAAGGCATTTATAGAATTTGGTGCAAAGTAAGGCAACTGGTGAATGAGCCGACCCAGAGGGACACAACAATGCGGGGAAAAAAAAAAAAAAATTTTGAGACTGATCACAAGTTTTACGAAGTGATATCTGAGATTTAGCACATACTATGATAGTGAAATGCTTATTTCATATTTTCAGGTGCTAACTGTAACAGTTATTTAAAATTTATTACATAAAAAATGTATGAAAGTAGTAAATATTTACCAAGGTAGACACAGCCTACCTTGTCTTCTCCAAGGAGCTACTACTGTCCATGACATGGTCATATTGAAATATTCACAAATGTGGTCAGGCTCATTATCCTTCAAATAACGAACGGCAGTGATAAAAAAGCAATCTTCAGTTTGTATATTTAATCTCTCAATCCATTGCACAATAGGAGTCGGCAAATTAATCAAAAGGTCTTTTAAAAATATTTTTCCTGGCACCATGGCTATTGTAAATGGTACTTTTCTAAAATTTCAACTATTTGGACTATCAAAACTACAAAATGAAAAAAGTAAAATAATAAAAAGAAAAAAGAAAGAAAAGAATTTGAGAAAAAGAAAGAGATTATTTATATATTTCATGAAAGATTACTGCAATAATTGTAAAATATATCACAAGACTTGAAACCACCGATTACTTGTTAGTACAAAAATAGAATATATGTTAGTAATAGGCAATGTTGCCCTTGTGTGACAGGACAAGAAAATTATAGTAAAATTAATTGAAAGTGATAACCCAGGTATCATAGAGATGAAGAAAATGTTATTACCTACCCCATCAGTGGTTCCCATTGAATTGTACACCTGTGAAATGACATAAAGAAAGAAAAAACACAGGAGTCAGATCTTTAAATATTTAAAAATTACCAATAATAAAACAAAAGTTTTTGGAACATAATCATAGATTTGTATACTGATGCCCTAATAAGTTCTCTATTACATTTTTATTTCTATTATGGGGAAAAAAAGAAAAGAAAAGAAAGAAAATCGTAACACGTCCAATAACAAGGCTCTGCTTCAACTAATTGTGAGAAGAAAAAACCTACTGATTTAAAAATAAAAGCATTCACACAATGTGAGTGAGCATCTACAATCTATCAGTGCAATAGCAGCAGCTTCAGAAATTAGATCTATTAGTTTGAAGCAATGTGGAGGGCAGATACACAATTTAGGCACAACACAGATGCCATGCCAAAGACTGAACCAATTTTAATAGGAACAATGTTATGGAAAGTAAATGCAAACTTTCACATTCATTTTACAGAATTCAAAACTCATTGCTTGTTGGAAAAATTTCAATGCAATAAATATAACAGAAAATTGAATTACAATTACTCACATTTCGCATTCCAGTGTATGGCAACATCTCAACCTCTTCTTCAACACCAACACTGGCAACAGTAACAACATTAGGATAATTTTTAATAACACACAAAAATTATTATAAAACAGTAGTCAATAAGGTGCCTGGTTTTGACTAATACTTAATGTGGAACATTCCTTCCATAATTATTTTATACCCTCTTTATGAAATTTAATGTAATTAGATACTACAATTAAATACTATGACCTTCAATTTTCATTTCTTGTTATTGATTATAATAAGAACACAATTAACATGCTATAAAATCTTTAAAATTCAGTACCTATTATTAAAATTTAAGTGAATGTAAGTAATTTAAGTAATTATGCACACACAATAAAAAAGCAATCAAGACAATAATTATATTTACATTGATATAATTTTCTTCTGGTTTTGAGATAGTTAAAGATTAATCATAATTACATTTCTTCACAGAACAATGAAACATTATTAAAACTGTTAGTAGTTACTATGTATTAAGAAAGAGAACTCAAAAGTATAATAGTAAATGGATAACATTATAAATATATTCTGAACTTCTCGCATGAGTTTTAGTTGTTCCAGGAATGTTAATGGCTCAATCCCTGCAGCAAATTCTCACAATTGCTCTGAGAATACATATTTTTTAAGAAGTTATACAGATGGCAACAAGAAATTTAAAAAATTTATGGGCAAAATTGTACTGAATTTTATTTTGAAGTACAACATACTATCAAGGCTTTTTATTTATATGTAAAGGCGAAGAAGATAAAGATCCAGAAAAGATTCTTACGGTATTTTGAACCATGTAAGCAACTGCATAGTTGCTCCACCCTGAACAATCACAGTGATAATAACAATAAGCGATGTTGTAGTCAGCATTGCTTTTCTTGCATCAGACACAGTGTTACGAATTGCTAATGCAAATGACATAGCACCCCTCAGACCTAAAAAGAAAAGGAAAAATAATTCCTCACTTTTAATGAAGTTTATAATCAGATAAGTTACATAGGTCACCAACACCCAGAGACATCCAAGGAGTAGGGCCGTTGGAGCAACTTGCCCCAGGCCCCCACTTACTCCTCCCAGGTACTCTTCTACCTAAAATTATGTTTTTTCTGTGAAGAATTAGAATTTTCTATTTTCATTGTTTATTGTGCAATGAGATGTGTACTTCTCCATGCGTAAAGCTGATTGTTTAGAAGTTTGTAAGTTTTTTTATTCATTTGTACTTTTCGAAACGCACGTGTGTGTGCCATGTCCCATGGCCATTTCCAATTCAAGTGGCCATGATCACAAAAAAAGGAAGAAAAATGAAGATTATTTCATGAGAAATTTAAAAAGTGCAATTTAAACTAATGTATAGTCCTTATGTCATTACGTCAAAAGCAGAATAACCTTTCGGACAAATTCTTTCGTGTAGTTAGGGAACTAGTATTCACAGACAGACACTTTAGAGCTAAGGCTTTTTCCAAAAGTTACTTTTTCTTTTGTTTGGACAAACCTGAAACTTCACAAGTCTTTTAATTATAAAGAAAGCTTTATGATTCAATTGTATTTAATAGTAGGAAATCAATTTTTGTGCCTAAACCTGAAACTGTAATAGAAAATTCAAATTAGTAATAATAAATTACTCTTAATTGTTATTGTTACCAGTGATTTTTAAAAGTTTTAATTAATTTAAAAAGTAATAATTAAAAGTAACCTATAATCTAAATAACAATCTTAAAAAGGAACATACAAAAATGTTACATGAGTTGTGATGTTTCTAATTACACCTTGATTTTTTTAAGGAAAAACAGGCATATCGGATGAAATAATTAAAATACATTTTTTTAACTTTGTTAATAATTTAATAATCATGATTAAATGCAGATGTATGCAATAAATACAAATTGTAGCCGATCCGGTGGCCGAAATCGCTAAGGCAGTAGTGCCGTAGCGATCTCGTACCGAAAGATCGCGGGTTCGAGTCCCGCCTCGGG